GGGGTAACGGCCGCCGCCGCCTTAAAGGGGAGAGGTGCGTTCTGTTGGGCGTTTCTCGGGCTGGCTTTCCGAGGAGGTGACTGTGTGCTCAGTTCTATAATGTCTCGGAGCAGATCTGTGATGAAGCCTCATAATGCCTGTAGGTTTTTTCCGTGCTCCCCAAGCGTTTCTATCCCCGCGATTAGCTTTCTGCTACATGAGCAGTGCAATGAAATTTTTCTTCCTGCTACTGTCTTGCAAGCTAAAATTTGAGGTGGGGAAGGGCGATTTTTTTTTTTTCATTATTTAGTAGCCTAATTGGCAGTTTGGACTTGGATGTAGAATACATAAAGTGTGCGCCTTGTGATCTGGTACTTCTTACTTTGAAACTCGACTACTTTGTCTTGCCGTAATTAATCATCGTTTGTAAAGCCTATCAATACAGGATTCATTTAATTATGCTGTACTAACAGGAAAAAATGCCTTTTTCCTGCAAGTGCGTTTGGGGGGTTGACAGGGTAAATTTGAGGCTCTTAAGTTCTCAGTCTGTGATTCCCTTATCTATCCTCCCTCACCCCTGTTGGAAAACATGGCTATGACGATGAAATTGGTCTTTCTGTGAGTATCCCAAGTACTGCATAAATAAGAGTTTTCTTACCTTTTATGACGTATAGTGTTGGGGGTTCCCCTTTCTCTAACAAACGTGTTTACTTTTATTGTAAGTTAGATACTACGGCTGCTAGTAAAACAACTATAATATGAACACTTGATTTGTCTTTCTAGGTTTTGTTTTTCCCCACCCCGTCAATTTAATTTTATTCTTTTGAAGATTCTTCGTTGTCAAGCCGCCAAAGTGGAGAGTGCGATTGCAGAAGGGGGTGCTTCTCGTTTCAGGTACTAGTGTGCTTTTTAGTTTGTTTGATGAACACTTGGTAGTGGAAACTGTCTTTTGAGGAGAATTTTAAACTTGTCTTATGTTTATACCAAAACTGACATGTAATTGAAAGTGTTGGGATTTTGAACTTATACAAGATTACATGGTTGTTTTTAACAGTGCTTCTTCAGGCGGAGGAGGTGGTAGGGGTGCACCTCAGCACTATCCCAAGACTGCCAGCAACAGGTATGTCATCTTGCTCTTCGATTTGGCATGATTTTAAAGGTAGAGAATGCTTGATGGTGAGTACTGAGTTGAAAATGGAGTATCTTCAAACTTGTACAAGGAATACCTACTGAGTTCATGACATGTTAATGTGCTCCAGTCTGTGTCAGGATAGCATATAATATGTTGAAAGTGTGCGTCATGATACAGTGATATGAGGTGCACAGACTTTTTCATGCATTTTGCTTCAAAAGTTTAGAGGAAGGGTTTTCTTGGGTGTCTATTATTTATTATTGAGTGAATACTATGCAACAGATATTGCAGTGTTGGTAGGGGTAAGCACATGGTCTTAGCAAAGTTAGTAACAGGATTAGCCTAAGTAAGGCCATAGTGAAAGATTAAAAAGGCCAGTTCTTGAAATTGTTTCTGTTTAACAATTATATTCCTGAAAATTTTACAGCGAGTTCCTGGGGAAAACCCCAGGGCAAAACGCTCAGAAATGGATTCCTTCACGAAGCACTAGACGAGATGACGACTCCGCAAACGACAAAGAACGACATGATGCAATCTTCAGGAAAGTAAGAGGGTAAGTTCTTCATAAGATTATTTTTTTCTTTCCTTACTGCTTTCATATACAATATACATTTCCAGTAAATGGCCTGATGGAAAGGAAGACGTGGGTCTTGAGGGGGGGGGGACACGTGTGGTGTCCTTTGGAGGGGATGAGGCAGAAACTGATTGGCCAGCCGCAAAAAATATGAGGACACGTGTGGTGTCCTTTGGAGGGGATGAGGCAGAAACTGATTGGCCAGCAGCAGCAAACATATGAGAATTCTTGTGAGAGGATTAGTCTTTTCAGTAATACTTAATGTTCTAAAGATCTCCCAAAAAATGGTTGAATGGAAAATTGCACTTCTCAATTTTTGTTTAATAGACTTAAGAAGTAAAGGTAAACTTGGGTCTAAAATTATTTGTAGCATGCTTACAAGATCTGTAATCTGGATTTTTGTTTGTTCCTCTTTAGCATACTAAATAAGCTTACTCCTGAAAAGTTTGACAAGCTATGCCTTGAGCTCCTCAATGTGGGTGTAGAATCTAAGCTCATCCTAAAAGGGGTCATACTGCTGGTAAGCTGCCTGCATGTCTTTTAACTACAGTTTTCTTGCTTGTTAAAAAAGAGGTTGGCTGTTTTTGATGGGATATAGAAGTAACATGGCTAATGTGGTGTTTGATAATCTAAACATACAGAAATACCATTCCTGCTTTTTGTGTAAAAAGGATATACTGGGAAGAAAGTAGACTTAATGCTCTAACTTTCTATTTTAGAAGTCTCAAGAATCACTAAACCCAATAGGGGATTTTGTTTGTTTGTTTTTTTAATACTACAAGATGCTAGTTAGCAGTCTTAATTCCCCCCTGCGCGCCCCCCCCCTTCCTGTTCTCCTGATGGACAAACCTAATGGTCTTGGAAAAGCTGCCGCAGGTGACTTCTTGGTGGTACACCGATTTAACTATCATGTCACTTTGTGTAATCTGAGATCAGATTGGTGATATTAACGTCAGTGTTCTGATGATAAACTTCAAATTTGTCCCATTTGTTGGCTAAGGATTATAGAACTCTCTGGTAGCATAGAGTAGCTTTTTTCCTTTGCTTCAGCATTAAGACTAGTGTTAAAAAAAACCCCATTCTTCCTGTATGTTTGATGAAATAGCAAAAAATAGATGTTCTAGATCATAGAGTGGTAATATTCCATTGTGTGTCTTGCAACTCACTTTCCTAATAACGTTTGCATCCTACTACATGCTACCTTACTCAAAATAAATTTATTTAGATCGTAGACAAAGCCCTTGAAGAGCCCAAGTATAGCTCACTGTATGCTCAACTATGTCTGCGACTGGCAGAAGATGCACCCAACTTTGATGGCCCATCAGCAGAGAGTCATCCAGGACAGAAGCAAAGCACAGTGAGTATCTCTCTGTCTGGAATGATAAATTTTACTAGCATGTATAGTTGCACTGATTAGCTTAATTGTTTTCTTTGTTCTCTTTTCTTAGACATTCAGACGCCTCCTAATATCTAAACTTCAAGATGAATTTGAAAACCGAACCAGAAATGTTGATAGTAAGCTTTAAAACCACTTTAATGCAGAATTTATTTATCTTCTCTCTTCACAGCCATGTTAAACAGGCTTCTTTGTTTTTCAGTCTATGATAAGCATGATGGTCCCCTCCTCCCTGAGGAGGAGGAACAGAGAGCCATTGCCAAGATCAAGATGCTGGGGAACATCAAATTCATTGGAGAACTTGGCAAGCTTGATCTTATTCATGAATCTATCCTTCATAAGTGCATCAAAACAGTGAGTATTCAGATTGGGTGGGGGCTAAGAGCAAAATAGGACTTCTGAACTAAAAAATGTAAATGTTTATGCTGCTTTGGGAATCTTGGAGCATAAAATACCACAAAAATGTTTCCTGTCAATTATCTACCCCACACTGTTTGAAATCCAGTCTTTCAGTGTGATTAAAAAGTAAAATTAGCTTTGTTCAAAGCTGTGGGAATTGTCTGCAAGTGAAGATGTAGTTTGGCCTAGACAGAAGTACCACAGGTACTGCAAAGTACGTACTTACGAGTAATAAGTACTTCAATTAGCAATTCTTAAAAACTAATTTTCAAGTCCATTTGTCTTCAGAACAAGATGAAATGTTTCTGCATGTCCCTGTGTACAAAGTTGTCACTTACTATAAATTGTCATTTATAATACGTTGAAATGCCTAATTCCCCTTTAATATTTCAGCTTTTGGAAAAGAAGAAGAGAGTCCAACTCAAAGACATGGGGGAGGATTTGGAGTGCCTCTGTCAGATAATGAGGACAGTGGGACCTAGATTAGACCATGCAAAAGCCAAGGTATGTGCATAGCCACTGCAGTCATTAAACTAGTTAAATTCTATGGCTAAGACTTTAATTGCCTGAACCTTCTGTATTCAATGTTCTATTCATAAGTATAAAACTGAAGTCTGACTTTCAGAGAGCAAGAGTGCCAACTATTGTTCCTGCATCAAATCTCTTGATAGCAAAAGGAGCCAATTCTTGAAATGGTTTTAAATGTCTTTCCAGAACGCAGTTAAGGTCATTAGGAAGTCATAAAAGCAAGAATGTTGTTTCTCTGAATGCTGCTTGAAAAGATACGGCGGGGAACTCTATTCTGAACACAACTAGGTGACATGACAGATGTATTTTGGACCTTGACTTGCGAGTTCAGAATGTAAACTTGAAATGGTGTTACAGTAATGAGAATTTCGGCAGGTTTTCATCTTTGACTCAGATGAGATGTCTTGATTCATTAGCTTTCCTTAAGCTCTACTGCTGTCAAGGAGATTGAGATGGCAGGGAAGGGCAGTCTGTTCTATTACTTGATCTTAGATGACTTGAATGTGGTCACATTTCCTGAAAATACTCAAAACAGTGATAGAATTAGCCCTCACTTGTAACATCACTTTTGTTCCCCCAGTCCTTAATGGATCAGTACTTTGCCCGTATGCGCTCCTTGATGTCAAGTAAGGAATTGCCAGCAAGGATTCGTTTCCTGCTGCAGGTATGATGATAAAATGGCTTACTACTTCCTTTTCTCACAAAGTTGTCTCGAATCCTCTCCTAATAATTCATTATGTTCCAAGGATACTGTGGAGTTGAGAGAACACAACTGGGTTCCTCGCAAAGCTTTTCTTGACAATGGACCAAAGACTATCAATCAAATCCGTCAAGATGCAGTAAAAGTAAGTGGTGAATGTAAAGTCTTGTGCTTGGCTTCTTGCTTAAGTGTTAAGGTGAATCCTTACACTCTCTACTCCATGTCACAAAACTTACGCTGTGCACTTACAAGTAGTTCTCACAGCAGTGTGACAGTAAGGGGTTAAGGGTTAAAATCAGATGGACTTTTATAGTTCAGGGCTAAAAACTTGACTTTCTCAGGGACTACTACTCCAAACTGACCAAAGTTATAATTCCTGTTTTGAAGGATCTGGGAGTTTTTATTCCTGCTCCTATGTCTCAAGGGATGAGAAGCGACTTCTTTCTGGAGGGACCCTTTATGCCACCCAGGATGAAACTTGACAGGGACCCGCTCGGAGGGCTTGCTGATATGTTTGGACAAATGCCAGGTACACTGAAACTGCAAGGCTGATGTGATGACTGTGGCTGTTGAACAAGACCTAAAATTGTCTTTTGTCTCCTTAATAATACAGGTAGTGGAATTGGTACTGGTCCAGGGGTTATTCAGGATAGATTTTCACCCACCATGGGACGCCATCGTTCAAACCAACTTTTCAATGGCCATGGGGGTCACCTCATGCCTTCTGCTCAATCCCAGTTTGGAGAACTAGGCAAATCTTTTCTGAAAAGTCAGGTAAGGAAGACGTTGTTCACAGGGTGACTTCAGCATGTTTAGAAGCTCTGCTACAGATGCGTATGTTATGGATTATAGTCTGCTTATGTTGAACACTTCCTCAGACTTGATTCTGATAAGAACTGATGCTCAGCTGATACAAAAATTCTAAACCACTTTTTAAATTGTGCAAGTGATGCAAGGAATACACTTTTACTGCAAGAAAAGGTGCATGTGGCTTTGGTGGGTCAGAATGGTGTGTTTTATTTAAAAGATAGCCCTGTTTTTAGGGATAGGTGCTACTCTCCCACCACCCCTGCTCCTTCTTTCTCCCTTCCTGGCAAATAGAATCTTTGTTCCTCTGGTCCCTCTGGTACTACTTACCATATGATGTACGCCACTCCATCATCTGCACTTCTTTCTCTATATCTCCCTTTCTGAAATAGGGGCAAAGCCAGCTCTACCATAACCAGAATCAGGGACTCTTATCCCAGCAACAAGGACAGTCGAAGGATATGCCACCTCGGTTTTCTAAGAAAGGACAGCTTAATGCAGATGAGGTACATTACATGCCTACATTACTTAAAGCCTATTCTAAATATTGCCCAATGATTATAGCAAGACGCGTTATTATGAGGACTAATGCTGGAACTCTTTCTCCTTCTCCTCCTTCTTTGTCCCTTCCTCTTTCACCTTACCCCTCACTTTCCTTAGGGTATCCAGCGTCCTATGAGCAAGACTGAGATATGAGGGCAATTTCTTGGGGTGTCCCTTCCTTCCCCCTGACCTCCCCAAGAACACTACTCTGACATCAGTTCCCATGCATCATATTGATAACAATACATTTAATTAAAACTTGAGAAAATCCTGAACTTTAGAAACCCTGAAGTGCTGGACCAGGCTAAATTTTTTTTTTTTAGAACCGGCTAATAGGCAAAATGTCAAATGCAAAGTAGATTGCATTGTTATTTCAAGTGTTAACCAGACTTGTATCCTGATTTCTGAGCAATTAGTAGAGTTTTATCTTGGCTGTAAAACAGATCAGCAAACATGCTATAAGTATTTTCTTGGGTCTCTAACATACTGCATCTAAAAGGAGCAATTCCAGATTTTAATACCAATGGAACTAAATACCATAACTTGCAGCAAGTTGTGATTCATTGAGTCGTGCTTTTGGGGGAATTTCAGTACACATGTGGCTTAATCTCTATTTGAGTGTTAACATTGTAGAAATGAAAAGTCATGCTTCAGTGGGATCAGTTGGTGTGAGTCCATGGCTGTGTATTCTTGGTCAGAATACTTGAAACAGTTTGAGTTTTTTCTGACTTACCTGTTTACAGATTAGCCTGAGACCTGCTCAGTCTTTTCTAATGAACAAAAACCAAGTGCCAAAGCTTCAGCCCCAGATAACTATGATTCCTCCCAGTGCTCAACCACCACGCACTCAGACACCACCTTTGGGACAGGTAAATATAAAAATTACTGTATGTTGTTGGCTATACTTAATTTCTTCATGCATGTAAAACTTAGACCAGTTTCTAGTATGGAAAGGGAGAGAGAAGTCTTTCATTGCACAGAGCAGGATATACAAAAAGAATGTCTGAAAACCTAATTTGACTTTACTTTGCCTTTGTATATATTTAGTGTTCTTAAACTTGATATAAATGTAGGTAGATGTGTACTGCAAAGAAGCAAATTCTGGTCCTATCTTTTTCAGCCTCCTCAACTTGGTCTTAAAACAAATCCACCGCTTATACAAGAAAAGCCTGCAAAGACCACCAAGAAACCACCTCCTTCTAAAGAAGAGCTACTTAAACAAACTGTAAGTTAAGTATGTAATAGTGCTTCTTGAAGCCTTGTACATGCTCTTTAAAAATGAATGTTTGTATAACTATACTTTTTTTCTCTAGGAAGCTGTTGTGACTGAGTATCTGAACAATGGAAATGCTAATGATGCTGTCAATACTGTGAGAGAAATGAGAGCTCCAAAACACTTCATTCCTGAGATGTTGAGCAAAGTAATCATTCAATCCCTAGATAGATCAGATGAAGACAAAGAGAAAGCAAGTACTTTGATCAGCTTGCTCAAGCAGGAGGGAATAGCCACAAGTGACAACTTCATGCAGGTACTGCAGTCTAATAGGCTCACAGTCCTTGTTGCTTGGCTGTTCATGATGTTTAGCTTGCGTAAAGGCAGTGTGCAAATTTTTCTAAGTCCTCTTGATCTGAGGAAGTAAAAATAATGTATAAACCTGTGAGGGACATAAGAAGTGATGAATGGAAGAAATGTAGGTAGAAGATTTCAGGAACTGAAAATGGGGAACCTCTTGGCAAGTGATTTAATGCAGAAAAGAAACATGAGGCTCCTATGTAGTAAGAGTATTACTGTGCACAAGAACAAAATTGCTTCAGAATTTAAACTTGCATGTTTACTGTTTCTTAGGCATTCCTGAATGTATTGGACCAGTGCCCCAAACTGGAGGTGGACATCCCATTGGTGAAATCCTACTTAGCACAGTTTGCAGCCCGTGCCATTATTTCAGAACTGGTGAGCATTTCCGAACTGGCTCAACCACTGGAAAGTGGCACCCATTTCCCTCTCTTCCTGCTTTGCCTTCAGCAGTTAGCTAAGTTACAAGATCGTGAATGGCTAACAGAATTGTTCCAACAAAGCAAAGTGAATATGCAGAAAATGTTACCAGGTAAGAGTTACCACATAGCTCTTATGACACCTCATGTTAGTGTATGCAAGATGTGTTTTCCTTTAGTTTTTTACACCAGAGTGAAATGACGTACAAGGCTATTTTGATGCAGTCAACTGTCATTCATATGAATGGTCTTTCTTAAGAGGTGGTTAGACCCATGAAGCATTGATTATAGGTTTTGATTAGCACCAGCCGTTAAGTGTGTCTTTCTTAATTTACTTGTCAGAAATTGACCAGAACAAGGACCGCATGTTGGAGATCTTGGAAGGGAAGGGGCTTAGCTTCTTGTTCCCGCTTCTGAAACTGGAGAAGGAACTGCTAAAGCAAATAAAATCGGATCCATCCCCTCAAGCCATCTATAAGTGGATTAAAGATAACATTTCACCCAAACTTCATGTAGATAAGGGATTTGTGAATATATTGATGACCAGGTGAGGTGCTATCTTGGTGTAGTTTAGGCACGTGTTTTGTTAAGCTATCAGTAAGTCAGTAACTCTGTAAAGGCTGATGTAGCTCTGTGCAGAAAAAGATACAGTACATGGGGAGATAAATTGTTCTGGGTGGACTTCCCCTGTGTTAAACACCTATTGTATTTGAGAAGAAAAGCAAGTCTCCAGGCTTGCATCAGTGTGGAGTGTTGCTCTTCCTTGGGAAGAAGTCTAGACCTGTGTATTCTTTTCTAAAATGTTCCAGAGCTGTAACAGGAGCAAAACTAGGATTTTTGTGGTGCACAACCAACCACAGTACTAATCCACTGTGCATGCACCTAACTGCTGATATAAGCAGGAGGGTATTTTTAGTGATAGCTAGCAAACTGAACTTGAAAGTACTTGTCTCTCTGTTTTAGAACATGAAATCTAGCTGCTTATCAGTTTACTGAACTTACGTTTTTTGTCCAGTTTCTTGCAGTATATTTCTAGTGAAGTAAACCCACCCAGTGACGAATCGGATTCTTCATCTGTTCCATCTAAAGAGCAGCTAGAGCAGGAAAAACAACTGCTTCTTTCCTTCAAGCCAGTAATGCAGAAGTTCCTCCATGACCATGTTGATCTGCAAGTGAGTGCTTTATATGCGCTCCAGGTGCACTGCTACAACAATAACTTTCCAAAAGGTATGTGCATCAAGATCTTACCCAAAATTTAACTTGTGTATGCTTGCTTGTGTTTGTGTATGGCTTTCAGGCTTGTCCCTATATTTCTTAAGAGTCAAGTAAGCTGTTCAGAAGGTTGTAAAGCTAATGAAGTTTAAATTTGCTTCCATAGGCATGTTACTGCGCTTCTTTGTTCATTTCTATGACATGGAAATCATTGAAGAAGAAGCCTTCTTGGCATGGAAAGAAGATATTACTCAAGAGTTTCCAGGGAAAGGCAAAGCTTTATTCCAGGTAAATTTTGCTAACGTTAGAATAGAGATCTGTCTCTTGTGATCTCTTCTGCGCTGGAGTGTTTGAGAACACTTACAAACGGCATTTAAGACTTGTTAATACCGAGAAACTTCATGGAGTATTTCACTAGGAAGGAGTGAGGCAAGATGAACTACATCTCTTTTTCTTTACTAGAGACCTACGTTTATAGCAAAGTGTGGCTGAAAGATTTTTAAAATGAGTTTGGGGGGAAAAAAGCAGTGTTGTGCAGAAGTACGTAGTGGGGAAATAATTCCTGCTGCCTTAAACCAATTTTATGTAACTGCAGGTAAACCAGTGGCTAACCTGGCTGGAAACTGCTGAAGAAGAAGAATCTGAAGAAGAAGCTGACTAAAGAACCAGCCAAAGCCTTAAATTGTGCAAACATACTGTTGCTATGATGTAACTGCATTTGACCTAACCACTGCGAAAATTCATTCCGCTGTAATGTTTCACAATATTTAAAGCAGAAGTATGTCAATAGGATATCTTCTGCAAAAGGTTTTTGTAGTATGTCTTAATAGTCTACAATAAAAATATTTTAGAGTATCTTTAATGTTTAGATAACAGTGTATTAGCAGCATGCAATAATTACATCATAAGTTCTCGAGCAGAAGCAGTCTGTTGCAAGGGTCTTCTTTGCTGCCAGTTATCATAGGCTGTTTTTAAGTTAGAAAACTGAATAGCAACACTGAATACTGTAGAAATGCACTTTGCTCAGTGTAATACTTGAGTTGTTGCAATATTGGATTATCCATTTGGTTGTTACAGAGAATCCTTAACTGTAATCGATGGTTGTTGCCGTAATAGTATATTGCCTGTATTTCTACCTCTAGTAATGGGCTTTATGTGCTAGGTTTTAATATCCTTGAGCCTGGGCAAGTGCACAAGTCTTTTTAAAAGAAACAGTTTACTTGCACAAAAACTGATCAGCTGAAGAGATGGTTTAATGCCCTTTGGGAAGAGGTTTTTGTGGGTGTGAAACATAACATGGTGAGAAATTTGAATTGGTCCCTCTATTATAGTACTGAAATTAAGTCTACTTAATTTATCAAGACATGTTCATGCCCTGATTTTATATACTTGTATCTATCAATAAACATTGTGATACTTGACTTGTTTCTGAATGTCTCCCAGTAGAAGAGCTTTGACCGACAACTAGTTTGTTTATGTAAGGAAACATCAGTGGGAGTTGACTTAGACTGGGACCATCTTAAGATTCTTTTTATAATAATTGTCTTAACATGCAAATGAATTCTAAATCTGGTCACAGACAAGACTAGACACTACAGATCTGCTGTGACAGGAGGAAAATTAAGAAATTCTGCTGAAGAAATGGTAGGAGTTTGCCTTGTGGTCCAATGTATGCTTTATCAGTGAGTATGTGCTTTTTAACTTCTTAATGCTTTGAACTTTTCCCAGGTCATGTGCACATTCTTTAATCAAGTGGCACTGACTATTAGCTGCCTGTTTCTCAAATTGGCAAAAAAACCCCCACAAAACAGTTCAATGATGTTGCATTGTACAGGCTTGAAATGTCATCTATTAAATTCTCAAAATACCTTGCTTCCTAGAACCTTGTCCCTAGTGACATTTTTTTTCCTCGTTGATACTCAGACTTTTCACTGTTGAAAGGTGATGTATTTGTAATGGCAAAACAGTTGTCTCCTTGACTGAAACTTGGTTTTGTCAGTGCTGGAAGTGCTTTAGACTGCATACTGTCTTCTGCATTGTGGGAGATGAAGTGGAGCATGAGAAAACTACTGGAGATCATAAAAGGGCTTGCTTTGAGGGGACGGATAGTTTGCATTTATGCACCTTAAAGTGCTGTGACAGGGAAGTGGGTCTGGTTCTCTAATTTTGCTGGCAATTTGCTGTGAACAGCAGGCTTCCTAACCTACAGTTTAAAGTAGTGGCCTCTTGCAACTTAGATTCCTTCAGTGAGTTTCTTCAGATGCCTCAGTAACTTGCTGTACAATGTGTAGCCCAGTAAATCAAGGTACCATGTTTCTGTAAACCAAATGACACTCAAAGGGTATTGAAATTCCTGAATTGCTAACAAAAATTCCATGATACTTAAACACTGTCTCTGCATTTCAGGACTGTGGCATATCTAGCTGTAAACAGGAGAGCAGGATATTTCTGTGGATTCTAGTTCCAATTTGGAAAAAAAGAAAAGCGTTAACTGCACTTAAGCGGCTTGAGGTTGGGAGCTGGCTGCTTTTGATGTAGCTGCAACTTCTGTGTAATGGTGGTGAGCAGTGATGTCATGGGGCCTCCAAAAAAGTTTCTAATGGTATGTTGTTGCTCCCAGTCATGATGCGGAGTAATCTTCAATTTATGAAACTATTTCCTTTCCTCTCTGTAGAGTAATACAGTTGATGTTAGATCTACAGGGTGTGCAGGGTTTACCCCTCACTTCATGTCTATTCTTGGGTAGATAAAGATGCTTCTCAAGTGCATGTCATATACTCATTAAGGTTCTGCAGTTAAATACCCTTTATTGGGGTAGAGAAACAGTAAGTATAGTTTCAAGGTTCATTTACTCCCAAGTAATGCCAAATTCTGCTGGTTTAGAATTGTAGGCTTACTTTTAAGTGTAGTAAGATGCAGTGTAGTGAAATTTAGCATTGCTTCAATAACAGGGTTGTGTTTCTCTAAGTATGTTGTTAGTTTCCTTTGTGTTTAAACTTTGCTGTTAACAGCTGATCAGGTTAGTGGTGCATGCCACTTTTTGTGTACTTCAGTTACAGGTTACTAGATACACAATGCATGTCACTTTTCTGTGCTGCAAAGCTGAAGACAGGGAGAAACCACGAGTCATGAAAGAACAGTCCTAACGGGTAGTTTCCAACTAAATTTACTGTAGAGGTGAGAGAGAAAGGCAACAGTAGAAAGGAGGTGCAAGTAAAAACAGTTCATGGTAAAAACTTCAGGATAATGGAACCAGAATCTGCAACTAACCTTTTTTTATTTGCCAGAGTTTTGGAGAAGGTTAAGCTGGCAGCTGCAGATTGTTTGAATAGCATAACTAAGCCTTGTATTCTTGCCCAGTCTATAAAATGTGATTGCTATGATCTTACATACTTGTGTGTGGAGGCTTTGCTGCTTGGCTTGTTTGTAACTATTCACTGAGTTAGGAACTCTGTTAGGGAAGGGTAAAACTGTGTAAGAACCATGACCAAAAATGTGGAATAGAACATATGCAGTAGAAAATGCCACTCAACTCTAGAATTACTCCATCATGAGACGCTTGCAAAATTTACATGCAGTTAGTCTGAACAGATCTGGTTTCTTGAAAGCAGTATAAAAATGGCTTTTATAACTGCAGTGTATACATCAAAATGGTATTTCCATAGATAAGGGAGCATCTTGATCTTCAGCTACTTGTTAAGTTTTTAGTGCTCGACTGCAGTGCTTGTGACTTAAGTCAATCTGGAAGGAGGGGGTGGGTGTTCAGTTGGTCTAACACTTGTGTGGCTTTTAACTATGAGTTGTATTGTACTTCAAATGTAAATAGAGCATACTGCATTTTAAACAGTAAAATCAGTCAAAATTAAACCAATATCACTGATCAATGATAATGGCTTTCATTAGTATTAATTTTGTTAAATGTTAGGTATAACACTCACAGGAGCATTGGAAAAAAATTGCTTATTAAACACATTTCATACCTGTTAATCATGAAGCTTACCTTCTGAAATGTTGAACTAGGTTGCAGTTACCACTTGGGAAACTTCACTTCCATGTGTCAGGGTTGCCCGGTGTACTTGGCAGCAGAATGCTGAAAAGCATGTCCATTTAAATGAGTCAATCCATACCAGATTTAAAGGTTCCTGCAAGAGAAGTTAGGGATTGGTTATTGAAAATGAGCAGTTGCTGTGAATTCTCACCTTTTGCAAGGAATAAGCAGCATAATAGTTGGACTGCTGTCTATTGTCAGTGTTTATACCAGTAGAAGACTGGATCTCTTTTTCCAGCTGCAATTGTTACGTTAAACTTAAATATTTCAGGAAAGTGTTCTGATCAAAGTTTCCAAGAGTCAAAACATCTTGATAACTGCACAGGCATCGCTTTTGTTGGGGAAGATTACAGGAAGAAGACTTCTGGGGCTGCGGGGGCAGGAGGTTGGGTACAGAACAAAATTTTTGCAAGTATAACTTAGCTGACCTGCTTCTAGCAGATGGAACCTTCCACCTGAATGCTATTTGGATTTGGAGGTTTTTCCCAGAGCTGTGAATAAATCCAAACCATGATTAGATAACTTCAGCACAGTCTTTAAGAATAGTTGCTGTAAATTTTTAGAATGCATCTGAAATATGAATTATCATAGCTTACGTTGCAGCCCAGGCTAGCAGCTGTAGTGACTGGTGAAAAAATGAGTTCAGTGCCAGTTCATGCTTATTCTCTAAAATCAGTTACCAGAGAGCTGATGCAGCAAACTGAAAGGGAGAGCTTACTTCTACGCATACCTGGAGAAACCTACACTTAGCACTGTAGCAAGCACCAGTTAATTACTTCAAATGCTGCTCATCTAAGGCCTTAACTGTGGCAAACAGAAGTATGTTGGTGCGTCCTTGTCCTGTGTGCGGGGGGTTTGGAGTATGTGGCACCACCGATGTCGCAAGTATTCCCCTAACCTAGAACGAAGCAGGAGGGAGGAGGTTGATACTTTGAAAGTTGATGAAGAGCAATAATCCCCTGTGTTCTCCCCTCTTCCACCTCACCCCCTTTAGGATGGGAAACTGATGAGGGGCTATTACAGGAGTTAACCTGCAACTGGTCTGTGGCTAAGGTTAACAGCTGAAGGGCTGGGCAGGGCACTGTACTGAACTGGGGAAGCAAGGGTGGTAATGGGGTGTGTTTGGCAGAGAATAAAGCAGCAATAAATGCTTTGCACCCTCTTGGAAGGAGGGGGCAGGCTGTAGAAGAAGAGGAGGGTGGTGATGTATGTCACCTTATGTTGAAATAATACAGAATTCCCGAGGCGTAAGTATGCTGGTTATAAATGGGGCCTGGGCTCAAGTATTTTTGGAATAGTCTCACCATGTGAGACCTGTATGTTAATTTTGTAGAGTCACTTAAGTAATGGTTTGCACTGAATACAAACTAGTTTTGAAGCCAGTGATTTCATACAATTATAATTTGAACGGATACGGAAAATGGAAATCGGAATGTGAGACTAGTGGCAGAATGTGTAAAGATGTCACACAAAGATCCTCAATTATCAAATGCACTTGTGTAAAGCTACTTTTTCCCTCACCTCACATAAATTGCCATACCTTCCTGTAACTATCACTGCTGCTTTTTATCTTGAATGATGTTGGCCAGAGACCAGAAGTATTCAGCAGCTGTCTTGCCTCTACAGCCAGCTATGGTCTCAGTTCAGGGGGGCAGTCTGCTTATAGGCACATCTATAAATTGGTACAGTTACTCATATGTACTATCTTCAAAAGCAAAATAGAAATAACCATATGCAGCTGAGACTTAAGCTGCTCACTGTAACAGCAAAGGAAGAAAAGAATTGTACAGCAGATCTATAGCTGTGGATATTAGGGTTTAATAGAACTAGTAATAGTAATTTAAAGGAGACTGTATCAGTATGGCTTTGAGATATCTGCAGAGTTGTTCTGCATCTGCTTCCAGAACAACCAAGCCAAGACCTTAGAAAGCTTGCCATTGCTTCAAAAATAGCTGCATGGGAAACCTTTGCTATCAAGTAAGATAGAGAGCAGTCACAGCATCTCCCTGGATCCGCTCCCATCCAGGTACTGCAGAATAAGCTTCACTTCTAAATGACCAGGAATTCTCTGGAACAAAATCGGGCCTTTACCTCTGAGGTTCAGGGGCTGAATAAGATTCTTTAGGTAGAAGGAGTTCCTTGAATGGGGTGGCTCTTAATATGGTGGTGTTAAAGTGATACAGGCTCATCTGGATTCGTTTTATAGAGCCCACATCCATTTCCTCGAACAGATTCCATACAGCTGGTAGTTGGAGACTAGTGAAATGTTATTTTTAATGAGTTGACTAAGCAGCCATGACAACAAGAGTTACATTTGGCATAAATACATGCCTGGAGTGGGGAAAGCAACTATCTGGGATTTTTATCTTCAAATATTTCAAAGTTTCTAACAATGCAAATCCTACATTTAGTTTTTTGTTTATGTTAGCAGCGAAAGTGCCTGAAGGATCTGATGTGTGAAGTATTCCTGGAATTTTATTATCTAAAAAGCTATGCAAAACACTTAAGTTTGTGAAGGGAAAAGGGATCTTTAACTGGTTTGATAAAGTATGTGGAGGATGAAGAGTTTATAGAATTCGTTGTTACAAAATAGATGTTCTTTTTGGTAGGACAAAGTGAAATTTGAGAAATGAAGGGTAAGTTAGCAAGAATATTAGAGTTAAAATTGAAATACAGGTGAAAGTTTGATTTGCCTTTCTATAGTGATTTTGTTTTAACCCTTTAAGGAATGATTGTATATGCTTTCAGACTTCATAGTTGAAGATTTAACCACTTTAGAGTGTAGAATACTGGGTGACTGGCCTTTCTCAGAGAGGAATCTTGCAGATGTGAATTAAATATTCAAAATAATACTAAATTACACCAAAGTTAAGAGTTCACTGCAGTAGAGGCTCTCTTTGTTTCTGCTGTTAGCCAGGGCTAGTACTGTCATCTGCATCAGCTCAGGGACCCATGGTATGATCAGATACTTGAAAATATATTTAATTGGAATCGGTCTCTTAACACTTTTCCTGTATATTAGTCAAATTACAAACCCAAAGCCTAATACACTTTTCTGTTGGGAATTTAGATTCTGAGGAAATGAACTTTGCAGATTCCTGTGATACTACACTACCATTATGATTCCGTGATAAGGTGACATCATACAAATACAAGTCTAGAGAATCAGTTCACAGCTGCTCCTTTAAAAAACAGTTGCTCTCCATGGCAAAGTAATAAACAAGGCAGTAAGCATCTGCTATCTCTGCATTCCTTCTGAGCCAGATGCATAAAGCAGGGGAAGTACTGAAGGCCTTGGTTTTTTCTATGTGTATACACACACATGTATTTTGTATATATGTATGTTATATACATATTATATATCTGTATTCCTTTTGTTCCTCTTAGACAAAAGCCATTCAGTTACTCAATTATTTTAAGCTACATTGCTTGCTGAGTTAATATTTCAGATTCTAATTAATAGTAGAAGCGTTAATAGTAATCCCCCTTCCCAGTATTGATACAACAAAACACCAGGAACTGTACTTGGCTATAGCTGATGTTTTAACCTTAAATATTCTCAAAACATGTAGTGCAGTGAGCCAGTCTGAGAAGTATAGGACTGTCTCAATTTCATACAAAGCAGGCAAGCTGTTTTCAAGTAGAGCCCTAGCCAGAGTTCTGGAGGAAGTGCCAAGCATGACAAAGTAATGAGAGCTAGGGTAGGTGCACTGCACTTTTATTTTTCACTTCCAGCTTTGTAAAAGCTTGATCAGAGGTGTGTCTGCTTTCAGGAGGACATAGATAACTGATTATTCACTAGATCAATACATCAGTGTCAATTCCTGCTCCAGTGAACATTTCCGTGGTGACCTGCAATTTCCCATAGTTCTCCCTCTATGGAATTGATGTAATGATGGTACCAACTCGATTGACTTTCAAGACTATGAAGTATTTAGATACGATGAAAGGCCATTCATAAATTCAATTAGATAAATAGCTCAGATGCTGGTAGGGATCACAATGCAATAAAAGCCAACCCCCCCCACCCCTACCTCTGCATTTTGGCATGTATCTTCACTGGGTTAAACCTGTGGAGGCCCACTGAAATCAGCGGGAGTATGCTGATTGTAGCAGCCCGGGGGCTGGAGTAGTGCTCATAAAATACACCAGTAGTATAAACCTTATTAAAGTGTACACTGTTCTATCAGCTATCCTTACTCAATTCTTGCCAGTGCAAATTCCATAGTAACCATAAAGGACTGAAAAAGAACTCAGTTCAGGAAGTGGGCCAACATGCAAATAATTTAGTATTTTAAACATTCTCCTAGAAGACTCTGCACACCTAATCTGGTTTATAAGAGGAAATCTCATTGATTCAAACTCTTCCTTTCCCTGCTCTTATAAACAGCCTGCTCCTCAGTCAAACAATGTAAATTCAGGTAATTAATACTGTTACTTCTGACATCATACGAGCTTTGGATTTAATCTTTAAATAGGAAACATTCAAGATTATTATTATTATGTGTGTAGTAAAATACATAACCAGCAGCTGAGAAATCGGACATTACACCCTGGAGGCACTTACTAGAAGCATAGGCTTTTCTGTAGAACCGAGCGCATGCATTAGAACAGCCCAATCTTGCACGTATGTCAGCCTGAGACCTCTTGTGGTACCAGTACGTACACCTGTAGAAGAGGAGTCCCCCGCTCACTGGAACACTCTAAGTTTGGGTAAGAAAGAGAGTTACAGTTGTACACTGTACTGTCTTTGTGTACTTACCACAAAACTGAGAGTTCCATTTTGATTTCTTAGATCCTAATTTGCTAGATATTTTCACAGATGCACAAGA